TGGTGTTAGGAGCGACGGCGGGGGGCGTGGGATACCGGGGCGGACAGGAGAGCGACAGGATGTCTCGTCTAGGAGAGGACCTTGTGGCCTTCGACATGGGAGTCGAAAAGGATGGAGGTAAATGGAAAGAGAGCGCCAAGGACTCGGAGGAGTGGTACAACAAGGTCGAGGACGGGGCGGCATGGCTCATCAGGAAATGGCACAGGCAGGAGGCGGAAGCGTCCGCGAAGCGCCAGCGCGCGAGGGAAGCAGAAGCAGAGAGTACGGCCATCTCAGGACCAAAGAGAAAGAGAGCCGGGGAAGCGGCGGTGGGGGGGAAGAAACGGCGACCGGGCACTGCCGTGGAAGCGAGTAGGGCGGCCGAGGCAGCACTTGTGGCGAACTATGTACCCAGTCGATGTTGCTGCGCGCTGTTCCCCTCCCTGCTGTATGTGAATCTCCTTGGTTTATGTCCTTTGTATTGCCTTCTGTCTCTGTGCTGTGTTTCTTTTTTTCACGTCCTCCCTGCCTACTCTGCTGTGTTGCGTACCTTGATCTGGCTTTTGCTGTTGCCTTTGTTGTTGTACGTCTGGCTGTCTGCCCATCTGCCGCCTCCTTGTCCTGTTTGTTCCGTTACTCCCATGCCCTGATGTGTAGTGCCTGTTGCTGGTACGTTACCCTTTGGTTTTTCTTTAGGCGGGTGTGGGAAGCGAAGAAAAGAAACACAGTCAAACAACCGCTAATACAGGGTTCTCCCGAGATCTACTTGTTGTACTGATCTCTCGGGGTCTTTTTTGGGCGACTCAACAAAAGTTTTACCGCAAACATTCCGATGACCAAGAGTCTCCTTGCTCGACTTCGACATATTCCGTCAATCTCTCTGACGTATTCAGTCTCCCTGCTCATCTTGTACGCGCGGGCTTCTACCACTGTTTGTGTATCTAGGACTCAACTCTCAACCTAAGATCCCTAGGCTACACGCGTAGAAGGCATGTACTTGCACATACATGGATATGCATCACACGGACAGAGACGTCTTGTTGTGTTGCTGCAATCGACTACAGAGAGAAATGCGTGACTCATGATTATGCATTACTGCAGGTATACAGCGTGACTCACGATGCTACTGCAGGTATCCAGCCATGATGCATATCTCCAACAGTTCCAACTGGTACTCCTGTTTCTCGTGGTGTCCTCAGCAGTGGCCGTGCAGACGTAACGTCGCAACGAAGCGGGCGTTGTAGGAAGGTGTCAGCAGGTGAACGGCAGAAGGAGACGGGACATGGTTGCATGTGTGGCGCGAACAACTTCTGCTGGAGTCCATAGCCAACCACAGGGGGACACAAGTACAGTAGTTTGTACACACCTGTGGTCGGAATTATTGCAGCCCGGGGTCAGCGACAAGCAGCNCTCTTGCTGGAGTCCATAGCCAACCACAGGGGACACACAGTAGTTTGTACACACCTGTGGTCGGAATTATTGCAGCCCGGGGTCAGCGACAAGCAGCAGAGGGGAGCGCGCGGTGTGTTTCTACAGCTGTATAATCCGTCCTCCTCCAGACCTAATGTAGATGGTTACTTTTTTAGCACAACGGCTGGATCCGAAATGCCGGCTAGCTCCGAAAACCAAGAGAGGTGAGGGGAGTAGCTAANCATAATCCGTCCTTCTCCAGACCTAATGTAGATGGTTACTTTATTTAGCACAACGGCTGGATCCGAAATGCCGGCTAGCTCCGAAAACCAAGAGAGGTGAGGGGAGTAGCTAAAACGTATGACTACGTGTGTGCTCCTCAGCAGCTGTTTTCGGCTAGTTCTTTGAAGTGTAGATTGCTGATTCGGCGAAATAGCGGTATATCCACATTGCCGATGGTTTTCACCTGGGTACATGGGAATTGTAGGGGAAAAAAAGGTGTTCATAAATTTTGGCATCATCATCCTACTTGGAAGGGACACGTTTCATTTTCAGTGTTCCCCGTTGCGGTTGTGGCGGTCAAATATGCGGTTACTCACACATTCTACCATCGCTACAGTACTGTATTGTGCCCGAAATGAAATTGATGTTGTCATTGCATGTACCAAGAGGTAAATAAATTTCGGTACATTCCAGTTTCATACGACAATAAATTTTCGGCACACTTCAGTTTCATACGACAAATAATAGGTGTTCGAAGATATGAGAATCAGAGAAGAACGATAGTAACCACGACATGTAGTTTCAACAGCAATATCACATTAGAAACACAATAGTGTTCCCGTTACCTATTCAAGGACATACCAAAATATGGCAAAAGAAGACCACACAAATAAAAACAATGATAGCATAAAACGTATACATTGTAGAACTTTGTGCAGCCTCTATATATCACTTCAAAGTGCTGCTCATCAACTCTCCTCCAAACCCCCGTCTCTACGTTTAACCAACACGTATTCCGCATTGCAGGTAAGTGCACATGAACGATGTTTACAGTTGAGTACAGCAGGGTGAGTCATTGTAGAAGGAACAGATGTATGTAAATTGGTGTGTAATATGTGTTCATATATCGTGTGTATAACGCGAAAGATATGTGAAGGTATGTGGGTTTCGTCGTTTTGGCCATTTTGTTTTTTTCGTCTTCGCTTCAAATCAGCGCTCACAGCACTGGTTGGTGCCGTTGACTCCAACCCGTGGTCACGCAGAAGAGCCCCTCTCTACCTTCCCCTTCTGCGGTACTTTGCCTTCGATTTTTATCGCGGGAAGCGTTCATCACTCTCTTCCCTCTCTCTGTGTACATACGAACTAGCGCTATCCACTGGGCCAGGAGCGGAAGCGAGAGAAAACTCACTTTTCTCCCTTCCGCCGGAATTCGAACCCCTGACCTGATCTCTAGAAGATTTTGAGGATAACAACTAGACCACCGAGGCAACCGGTGTCATCAGGGGTTTCGAATCAAGCGGCCATCCGGTTTGGGGTCCCCATTAATGTTACTACAGCACCAAGAATGGGGAGGGGAACTGCAGGCTCTCGGCAGTGATTCACCTCGCCTTATGATGTAATGGCGGGATGGGCGCGCGCAATGCGCAGAAGATACTGTCTCTGGACGGTGCGGATTCCGAGACTGGCGTTCGGGGAGAACTTCCTGTACGTCTGTCGGGGGCGTATATCTACAGGGTAGTGGAGTGCACAAAGTCGGACGAAGAGATCAAGGAGTTCACCAAGTCGGCTGCGAACCTCGGCCGCCAGCGCGACTGCAACCGTACATCATGCTCCGGGCAGCAGCTTTTGTCGACGACAACGCCGTCGTTATGCTCACGGGGAAGCTTTTCGGGCTTCAGGTGCAGATTGTCCAGATGAACAACGACACCCGACAGCTTCACGATGCCACGGAAGTTCCTACGAAGGATCTTGGAGTACCTCGTCCTCTTGGGAAATACTTTGTGCTGCACCGCCCGCACTGTGCACTCTTCGGGGCTCTTGTGTCCAAGGTCAGATCCGTGGCACACGAAAATGTCTTGCTTTGTTTCGTGTGCCGAACTTTGTAGTCTATGTACAGTATGCACCACAAATTTAGCCGAACTATGTAGTCTATGTATGTACCACACATTTACTCCTCAGATATTCACTTCCACTTTCCCACACTTCTCTCCTCACCAGGCAAGCATGACACATCCAGTGGATGACCCTTGTGGACCCGACGACGTCAGCTGGGTGGTGAACTACCTCACTGAGCTTTTGGAGATGAACTTTCAGACGCTTGTGGCCGAAGTAGAGACGGAATGTGAGCCGGACAGCGCCGCCGCCGATGCAGATGCGGACGGTGAGGTGGATGGCGAGACGGACAGTGACAAGCCCCATCCCCGAGACGGGTTCTGAGGTGAGCAGGTTCGGGTCAAGTTGGAACGTGCTTGTTTGGCTCGCGTCGAGGTTTGTAAATATTCGTGGTCGATCTTACTTCTTCTGTGTCACTCTCGGTTTGTTCTCAGGGGAAGGCCTTCGCGTACCACACAGGCAACATGGTGTACTGTGTGCTGCTGGAAAAGGGCGAGGAGGACGCCCCCCAGGAGCACGTGGACGCGGAGAACGACCCCCAGGAGCACGTCGTGGGCGCGGAGGACGACGCCCAGGAGTGAGTGGGCGTAGAGGATGCTCACCAGGAGGACGATCCCCAGGAGTAAGTCTTTGGCGCGGAGGGAGAGCCCGCCAGGAGCACGTCGTGGGCGTAGAAGGTGCCCCCCAGGAGCACGTCGTGGGCGCGGAGGACGGCCCCCAGGAGCATGTGGACGAGGAGGACGAATGGATGCCGCGGGTTCGTGTAACCACGCCTCGCAGCTGGCGGAGGACTGGTCGTGGTCAACACAAGCACCGAAACCAGCGCCTCCGCGAGAAACGCCACCGCCGCCGCCGCCGCCACCCCATCACGAGGTGGAGCTAGCACGGGGGACGGACCGGTGTGTTGTTTGTTTTTGTCGTCCCGTATGTCAGGCGGGGCGAATAGATAACAAACATTGGCTTTGTTTGCGTTGTCTCCTAGGATTGCTTATGTTACATTGTCCGACAGGTCGTTCCCTCGTACGCTAAATGTCGAACGCTTCGACTACTTTGAAACAGGTGTCTGGGAGGCCAAAGCGAACAACTGCGGGGAAAGCACCCCCGCCCCCAATGAAGTGCGAGTTTTGCCAGCATCTGCACGAAATGACCGTGCCTGTTACGAGAATCAACACAAAGATGTATGGCCAAGAAACCGTTCTGCTTGCGCATGCTGGCTGGGATAAGGTCCTGTTGTGGGAAGCCCAGCAGAAGCGGGAAGCCCTGGAGACGCAGAAGGAAACATGGCTTAAGTAGAGTGCATGGGGTGCAACAAGACACCGATCGAGAGTGCTCCATCTGGGGGGGTGAGTTCTTGTTTTTCATTCAGCCACAGAATGTAGCACTGAAATCCTTACAAGCCTCGCAATGTGCACCTTCAATGTTTCATACCTGATTTGATCGCGTCCTGCCATTGTCCGCATTCCCTCAACAGTGGTTCTGCGACGAGTGCAAGAGGAGAGAGGGGGGGGAGAGCCGGTACAACCGATGGACGTGGACGGCCCGACGGAGTCGACACGTGTACCACAACCGCAGCAGCTGCCGATGGAACGGGCCACCATGTCGACAGTAGCGAACGCGAGCACGGCCAACAAAAGGAAGGGACGCACTACGAAGAGGAGACCCAAAGCTGGCAAGACTGCGGCTGGTTCAACTGCTCGCATGG